AGCTTTATCTCCGTCACAGCTCCTAAGAGCTTCCAGCACTTCCTCCTCCCCAAATGGCTTCTCCAAACCCACTCTATCCTCATCAGAAATTGTATCAAACGCAATACCATCCAACCCCGGCCTCCAAGAGACAAACTTTATGAACAACTCCTGATAAAATGCCACAAAACCTGTTCGGATCTCCTCTTCAGTTTCAGCCATGACACCATCAAAACTTATCCTCCCAATGTTGTTCCCTCTTCTTTGAGCGTTAGCTAATCGGTGAAAAAACTGAGTATTTCGGTCACCTTCTTTAAGCCACAAGGCTCTCGACTTCTGTCTCCACGAAACTTCCTCCATCACTGCAATCTCTTCAAACTCAACCTTACACTCCTCCCTTCTACTCCTCTCCAACACTGAAATCCCCTCAGCACCTTCCTTCCTATCCAACTCTGAAATTTCCAAAAGTAGATGATTTTTCCTCCACTCCAACTTACCAAACACATTCCTTATTCCAGACTTTAATGTCGCCCTTTAAGTATCTCTACTTAGCTGCCAATTGAAAGCTTGGACTACCCCTAACATCATAGGCACCCCACCAGTTCATAACCCTTTCTTTGAAGCCATCCACTCGAAGCCACATGTTTTCAAATCTAAAAGGGGATCTTCCTCTCCTAATCCCTCCACAATCAAGTAAAATAGGAATATGATCAGAGATTGCCCGCACACACGCCACTTGTGACACATTTGGAAATTTCTCCTCCATCTCCACTGAAATAAGAAATCTGTCCAGTCTAGAAAAAGAAGGAGAATCCCGCCCACTCAACCATGTGAATGCGCCTCCCACCATTGGAAGATCCAACAACCTGTTAACTTTCACAAACTCAGAGAAATCAGCCATTGCTCCATCCCATGCACCCCTAGAAAATCTCTCACTCGTGTTAAGGACAGCATTAAAATCCCCCCAACCCCCCATCTGCTTCTAATTGTACCCAGTTCCTCCCACATCTCTCTAAGCTCCACATCACCTATAGGCCCATAAACACCCAAAAAACACCACTTCGAACCATCTTCCTCAAACTCAAAAAGTAATGATAATGAATGCCTCCCTTTCCAAACATCAACCTTCGACACCCATCTCCTATTCCCCCAGCAATCTCCACTGCATCAATAACCTCCCAATCCACAAATCTAACAACCGCCCCCCCCCCCCCAACAACACAAACCCAAAAAACTTTTCATAACCTTAGACTCCTCCACACCTAACTTGGTTTCCTGCAAGCAAACCACATGCACTCTCCATTTCCGAGTCAAAGCCTTCACCACCTTCCTCTTCTTCCTCAGCTCATTTAGTCCCCAAACGTTCCAAGACACAACATTGAGCTTCATTGACAACCATCGAGTCTTCCACTCCCCCTCCTTCCCCCACTCCTCTTCACTCTCCCTGCTCCACTCCTTCCCTCATAGTTGACTTCAGAAAACAAGCCTTTCAGCTCTCTCACCACTTTCAAAACAATCAAGCTCTTCTCCTTTCCACTACTTGAAACAACTCCTTCACTTGCTTATTCTCCCCTTTCCAAGTCAGCCCCAGAAACTTGCTTTCCTCTTCAATACCCTTCATAAACTAGTTATCATCTGAACCATCCAACTCCGAGAGCCTCTGACCATCTCTGATCACTGCCAAAGGAGAGTGAAATCCCACCATACTCTCTCCACCCTTAGTCCCGATATCCCATAAAGGATACGAATGCTTCGCAACAACATCATTGTCATCTAAATCATCCTTTTCACTGCCTGCACTGAACTCTGGTCGCAAACGTTCAGATCCTCCATCATCAATCAACATACACCTGCACCCCACCCTAAAATAAGCATTCCTTTGTTCTGTAGCACTCGCCATCAGCTTGATCAAACCCCTCTGTTCCACTGAGTGTTTATACCCTCCATCCTCCCTGACTGAAGGTACTAGACCACTCCCTTCACCATCCACTTCAGGTATCGTCGCAAGCCTCTGGACCACCGGTGGCCTCCCCCTTCCCTCCCTCTCACCCACTATCCTCACCACCCCAGAAGGAGTAGTAGAAGAAGAAGAAGCATGTGTAGAGAGAGAAGAGTTCTCCGAGTTCAAGGCAGAGGACATACCTGGGCCACCACCTCCAGCAACCCATTTCTGTTTCTGAAATCGCGTCTATTTTATGCCTATCAACTGGCTACGAACCAAAAAATCACAGCGTGGTCGGAAATAGTGTCTTGATTCCTAGCCTCTCGCCTCTTGTCCTTCACGCCCCTACCTTTGATAATCGTTGCGAAGAACCCTTCACTGTAAACATCCTTCTGATGGTCTAAAGGCAGCCCTAAAGTTACTCCCATATTGGTCCAGGCCGAACAACTGAGCCCCTACTTGTGCATCATCAAGCCCAGCACTACGAACCTCCCCCACAGGCCCACAATCATTAACCCCAGGTAGCCCATATGACTCCAACCCCACTCCCCCAAACCTTGGCCAATACAGCTGCCCATATCATTCAAACTTCCTTTCCGGCCCACATGAGTAAGCCCATCCTTATACCTCACCCTATCCCTCACCTGGCCCGTCCACCCATTGGAGGGCCTTTGCCTAAACTTCCTCCTCACCATGGGCTCAACTTGAGCCCACCCTACCAACCTCTGGCCCAACCTACCACCTTCCCCAGCCCATTTGAAAACGGCAGACTGGTCACGTGCCCACCTAACCTTATCCCCAACCCCATCAGCTGAAGATAAGGGGATACAATCTGGTTGAGCACCTATACGCTCTCCACATGGATCCATACTCCACTCCTCTTGAACGCTCCTGTCCGGCGCGTGACACCCCCATCGTCTTCCTTCCACATACCTCACTGCTCTCTGCCTTTCCCTTTCCTTCAACCATTCTTGAATTTCAATAACCCCTTTCTCTCCTTTGCTAAGAATCCTGACCCACTTTGCCTCTGTCATAAGATGAGCTGCATCGCTGCCTTCTAAGCTTTCCGTTGTGGGAACAAGCTCTAGCAATACCTCTTCCCAAATCGAAACTCCGTAACAGAACCTATTGCCATGTATGAACACAAATTTTGGGCAATTTGTTCCAACCTTCACTGTAATCCTGACACTTTCAGCATCTCTCGTTTCATCCGCCTCCACACTGGCAAAACCGCCACATAAATCCTCCAATTCAATGAAAAGTCCCTGACACCAGAGATGCAACGGAAGCCCGAATAGCCAAATTCGCTTAAGCCCTCTGTCCTTAAGCACATCACAACAACCGACCCTAAAAGACCATACATCAATCCTCAGTGTAACAGATCCCCACTGTCGCCGTCCTTCCTTCAGCACCCTTTGCGCCTCCGCAGGAGATGGAAACCTGAACAGGAGAAGAGAGTCCGATAATGGCATCACACCCACCCCACAAGACGTATTCCACGCCCGCGCCGCCCACTCCTCAATTCGATCACAACCTCCAACCTCTTTATCTCCGACCAAGCAGGACAACAACATCGATCTTCTCCCTTCAATTGACGCCTCATCAAGATACAGCAATGGCCCTCGATGAGGGATCGCTGCCTTAACACTTCCCCCAATGATCCTCGGGAGCCGTGCAACCTCAAGAAAAGACTTCATTCCATATCATATACGCACATAGCCCTCACAGCCCAGGACAAGCCCTAACCCTAATCTACCAAAAGTCTCCCCTAAAATCGCCCCTAGCATGGTGAAATCACCCCTACAGGCTAGTGATTCTTGACTTTTAAGCGATACAATCGCCCCAACAGGCTAGTGATTTAAAGGCTCTTTTAGGTCTTGTTGTATCGCCAGGATTTGTAGACATAGTTCCTGATTTTATGGTGTGGATTCCATCTTCCAGGGGTCACTTTGAGGTTTCTTTGGGTGTCTTGCTGAGGCTCCAGGGGAAGCGTTCCCATGGAAGGCTATTTGGTGTTCTAAGGCTCCTCTCAAAGTGGCTTTCTTGGCTTGGACATCGATTTTGGGGAAGATCTTGACCTAGAATAATCTTAAAGAGGAGGAGACATGTTGTGGTCAATTGTTGTTGCGTGTGTTGAGAAATGAGGAAACAGTTGATCATCTTCTTTTGCATTGCCCAGTTGCTTGGGACTGTTGGACTTTGATGTTGACTTTGTTCGAGGTTCAGTGGGCTATGCCTAGGTCTTCTAGAGGTTTGGTTAAGGCTTGGAGAGGTTGTATACTAGGGGCCAAGCTCGCGACTTCTGGAGGGTCACGCCTTTATGTGTTTGGTGGTGCTTATGGCTTGAAAGAAATAGGCGATCTTTTGAAGGAAAGGATACCCCTATTGGCACGCTGAAATTCTTCATTATTAATACTCTTTTTTGTTGGGTTATTGGGAGAAGTTGTAAATCCAAGGATGAGATTGTTGAATTTGTGGACTCTTAAAGGCCCCTTTAGGCCTTGTTGTTTTGTGGGATGCGTTCCCCTTTTGAACACTTTGCAATACATATTTACTTATCAAAAAAAAAAAAATAACCACCCAATCAAAGACTGAATTTTCTGATTGAGTTTGGGTTAACCACAAACTACACTCGATTCAACCCCAAGCCTGCCTCAGCAATGGCATAATGTAATTATCTATAGGTAATAGGACATATGTTTATATTCCATTTTAAAATTTTCTGCCTTTTTGGAACAGCAAATTATTTGTTTGTATTTATGTAATTCATCTAATGCAAAGTGAACAGATCATCACCCTTGTCATTTATTCCAACTTGGCAATTATCCACCGGCCAGGGCCTCCTCTTAGGTAATGGACTAAAGGTGGGAAGGAAGAAATCAGTGTGACAACATTGATGATGGATAAAGCTATGAAATCAAGAACAGGCCAACAAGTCTCTAAAGCAGGTATAAAGATTATAGAAACTGCAGATTGTATAGTAAATGTGATAAACTTTTACGGTTTTAATTTTCTGTACTACAACGAACAAGGACAGCATTTTTGAGAATGATGTAAGGGATCAGAAAGAGAAACACACCTGCAAGCATTTAGAATTGCCGAAAAGGTGACAACATTTGGTTTTATTTGCAATTCGTGCATCTTTTGAAAAACTCCCAAGACACACAGAATCTCCTGTCTGCCCCTGTCACTATCATTTGCATGACATGAATTTTCAGCAGCTAACTGCTCAAAAATCTTTGCGATCCTATCATCCTCTGCATGTACATCTCCAAAAACAATCAAAGGTGAAGATTCCATTCGTGACTCGGTGGTTCCAATAGCACCGCGAATTAGACATTCTTCAGCTGCTGACTGACCAAAGGCATTAATTATAGAATTGTAAGTGACGACATTAGGTTGAATCCCTTTCTTCGTCATCTCATCAAGCAATAACACACAGGATTCTACTAATCCTTTTTTACACAAGGCATCAATAAGTTTGCTATAGAAAACAACATCGGCCTTCAAGTCTTCCTGCTTAAACTCTCTGTAAACCTCCATTGCCTCTTGATACAAGCCACCTTTTGAGTACACACTGATTAACGTTGAGTAAGTCAATAGATTAGGTAAAATATGTTTTGCTTTCATCCCTTGTAACAGTTCTTTAACCTTGTCATATTTCCCTTGTTTCCCAAATCCATCCAGAAGCGCATTGTAAGTAACAACATCCTTCTTAATCCCAACATTCTCCATCTCCTCACAAATATTTAGAGCCTCTCCAAGCCTACCGAGGCTCCCATAAATCGCAATCAAAGTGTTATAACAAACTCTATCCGCACTAATTCCTGCATATTTCATCTCATTAAACAAACTCACCGCCTTTTCTAATCTTCCCGCCGTGGCACACCCGCGAATCAGAGTACTGTAAGTCACCTCACTAGGCAAGATACTCTTCGTAGGCATTTCCGCCATTATCTCAAAAGCCGCATCCATGTGCCCACCAGAACAAGCAGCATCCAAAAGGGTATTGTATGTATATATATCCTGATCAATACCTCTATAAACCATCTCACTGAACAAATTCTTTGCCGTCTCCCACAACCCTGCTCCACTACAAACAGCAAGCAGCGAATTATAAGTAATCCTATCTGGTTGAACCCTATTCTTCAGCATCTCATTGAAGAATTGGGATGCCCTTTTAAAATCTGCACCCCCTTTTCCACAAGCATCAATCAATGCATTGTAAGTAACTGAATTTGGTTTCAAACCAGAATTTTTCATAGCCTCAAAAACCCTAATGGCGTCGTCACAGAACCCACTCTTGGCATAAGCACTTATCAAAGCCGAATATGCATAAACTGTGTTCCCATACCCCTCCTTAACTGCGGTTTCAAATACTTTCTCTGCTAAATCAACTTTACCTAATCTACCAAGAATACTAATCATTGCACTGGCTAGCTTACCCTGCTCGCTACGCCTTCGATCGCGACCTACAGCGAATTCAAAGCATCGCATCGCCATGGACCATTCACCCCGATTACCGAGCTCCCGAAGCAAGAACTTGTAATCATCGGAACCACAAAGCTTCAATTCGAAACTGACCAACACACTGTCAATGTGTTTGTCATCGCCGCTGTATCGAATCGCTTGTTGCAGAGCCTCTTCCGCAGCGAACGAGTGTCGGCTTGCGACCGCATTCTTGGGGCGGCCGAAGTGCATCTTGGAAACGAAGCGAGTCGATCTTCGGCCGGAGAAATCAGCAGAAAGTTCCGATCTTGATGGAGCGACGGGAGCGAGAGAAGGGAAATTAGGGTTTGCGGAGAGAGGCGTTGCGGCAGCGAAGGCTGATGGTGATTTGGCAGCATTTCGAGGTGGCGGAGGGCCGTTGAGAGAAACATTTTGGGAGATCAATTTGTGGTGCTGGCGGTGGTTGTGGTTGTGGGGATTCTGACGCTGATTGTTGTGGTGGTGCTGGTGGTTTTGGATTGTTTGGTGGAGCTGCTGGTGGTGGTTTTGGTAGGGCTTTGTGGTGGTTAGAGCGTAGTTGGGTGGAGGAGTAGAAGAGGCCATGAGGGTTTGGGCTAACGTTTTAGAAAGAGAAAGTGAGAGATGTATCTACCATATCTACAAGGTCTCTCTCTAGAATCTAGACTTATAGTATATAGTGTATGTCTGTCTCTCTCTAGATTTAAGAAGGCAGCTGAGCTGGACAGTGAGCTGGGTCGATTGTGGTTTCATTTCGGACCGCGTCATCGTATACGAAGTTTCTTTACTTCTTTTTTTTTCCTTTTTTATTGGCGTGAAATCTCACGCACTCCATTTTATTCTTTTGTGATCCGTCATTTTATTCTTTTGAGATCCGTTTAGTTAGACAAAAATGTGTAATAAAAAATAATAGTGAAATAAAATTCAATTTTCAATATGTATTTGGTTAGCAGAAAAAAATTTCATAAAAATTACAAGAAAATATTATTTTATTAATTTAAATAACATGAAAGAGAAAATAAAACGATTTATTTACCAAAATTATCCTCCTAATTTCAAATATTTAAAAATAAATTAATTTTGTATTAGATGAATTCTCTTTATATCTAATTATTATATTAATTTTTAACAAATAAATAGTAAAATGATTGATTAATAATTATTATTAATTAAGAAGGATTGGATTTTAATTATCAGAGTCTTTTTATTTTGTGTTTTAAATAATAATTATTTATATTCATATGTAAAATGTAGTTTATTTATCATAACATATTCATGTTTGTATTGGAATATTAAATATATCTTTTTTACAAGTCCTCCAAAAAAACACTAAATGGCAACACTCAAAGATAAAAATGATCATGCAAAAGTAGGGGTGGCAAATGGGCGGGTTAGGCCAGGTTTGGGTTGGGTTGAAAATGGACTGGTCAAATATGGGTCAAAATGTATAGAGTCAACCCGTTATAACCCGTGAACCCCATTAAATTTTTTATTTAATTATTTTTTTCCCGAAATGTTTTAAAATTTTATTTAATAACAAATTAAAAAAAAACAATCTCAAACTCAACAATATTTATCGACTCGTTTTAGAGAGAGAAGTGAAGGAAAGAGAAGAAATATTGATGTTTTAAAAATAAATTTTTCTTAAAAATTTTGATCTTTACAAATATGGAAAAAGAAAATGTAATTTGCATGTTTGAAAAAAAAAAAAAAATTTGACCCGTGAAACCCGTCCGACCCGTCCAAAAAATTTATGTTTAAAAAATAAAAATTTCTTAAAAAATTTGATGTTTACAAACATGGAAAAGGAAAATCCGAAAATGTCATTTGTATATTTGTAAAAAATAAAAATAATGACACGTGAAACCTGACCGACTCGCACAAAATTTTGATGTTTTAAAAATAAAATTTTCTTAAAAATTTTGATGTTTACAAACATGGAAAAGAAAAATGTAATTTGTATAGTTGCAAAGAAAAAAAAAAAAAAAAAAATTTGACCTATGAAACCCAACCAACCTGCCCAAAATATTGACGTTTAAAAAATAAAATTGTCTTAAAAATTTTGATATTTACAAACATGAAAAATGAAAATATAATTTGTATATTTGTAAATAAATAAAAAAATTGACCCGTGAAACCCGCCCGACACACCCAAAATATTGATGTCTAAAAAATAAATTTTTTTAAAAAATTTTGATACAAATATGGAAAAGGAAATTGTAATTTGTAATTTGTAAAAAACAATAAAAATAAAAATTAACCTGTGAAACCCGCCCAACCTGCCCAACCCACCCAAAAATTTGATGTTTACAAACATGAAAAAGGAAAATGTAATTTGCATATTTGTAAAAAAAAAATAAATAAATAAAATGACCTGTGAAACCCATCCAAAATATTGATATTTAAAAAATAAAATTTTCTTAAAAATTTTGATGTTTACAAACATGGAAAAGGAAAATGTAATTTGCATATTTGAAAAAAAAATATATAATATAAATTTGACCGTGAAACCCGACCGATCCACCCAAAATATTGATGTTAAAAAAATAAAAATTTTCTTAAAAATTTTGATGTTTACAAACTTGGAAAAAGAAAATGTAATTTGTATATTTGTAAAAAAAAATTTAAAAATTGACCCGTGAAACCCGACCGACCCGATTTCGGATTGAGATTGGGTTGGAACTGGGCTGAGTTAGGCAGCCCAACTTGTAGGCTTAATCGTCAGTGAGAGAATTTTAGAGAGAAAATTGAGTGAGTGCAATATAGAATAGACGTGTATTGTGTGTCTATGTAATGGGTGACCCTCAAATTAAGTGGTTAAAAATTACCCAACCAATTTTTTACCCAGCTTAAATACGGTTCACCCAAAACCATTAAAAAGCAGGCAAATATGGGCAGGTTGATGGTTTGTGACCCATTTTGCCATTCTTAAGCAAAAGTAACATATTTTATAGTTAATGCATAATAATTTTTTGGTTCATCCATAATTTACCAATTTATGAGCGCTGAAAAGTGCGTATTTAAACCCCTTAAGCTTAGGTATTCTGGAACATTTATCTACTTTATTTTACCATTTTGTATTGATTTTGTGTTATATCCATTTTCAGGTACTTATTCCCAAAATAAGCTAATTCAGCCAAATAAGAACATAATTGAAATAATTCTGGGATTAATCAAAGAAAAGAGCAAAGTAGAGCAAAAGGAAGCAAAGGGTAGAATTTCAGCAACTTCGATCGATCTCAAGAAAAGTTCAATCGATCCAACTTTCATCGATCTCAGCACTTCAAGATAGATCTGAGCCATGTTTGTCTCTGTTCAAAGATCTCAAAAGTTCGATCGATCCAACTTCCTTCTTCGATCGATCGAACATTCTTGTCCTTATCCAAATGATTGATCTTATCCAGTTGTACCATCCTACCAACCACTTTTATCCTTTTCCCAAAAATATCTTCAAAATATCTCATATTTGTTTTTATCCAAAAAGGCGCCGCCATTGAGGATCGATCCAACTTCAGTTCGATAGATCTCAGCCATGTTCAATCGATCCAAGTCCAAGGTTCGATCGATCGAACTTCCTCCAGTGCGAAAAAGTTTAATTTCCAGCCACAAAATTTGTCCTTTATCCAATCACAGGGGAATATTTGTTGTACGACCCCAGCTCATTTTGGGTGTCATTTGACCTACCAATATAAGAATAAGGATTACTTTTTGTATCAATATAGAACATAGAGGATCATATTGTATTATCTCATATCATATCATACTTAAAGAACTCTTCGGGAGGAAGCAAAGAAGAAGAGGAGGCTAGAGACACCATTAGAGACCCTTTATCAACCAAGGAGCAAATTTCTTCCATGGAGCTTGCCCTTGAGGGTTGAAGGATATCATCCATGAGTGGCTAGACATCCTCTTGGGGCTAGAGTTAGCCCTAAGCATGTTTTCTACTTCTTGATTTATGTATTTTTGAGGGGATTTGTATTGTGATTCATGTCTTGACACTTATATATATATAAATCTTGTTTCTTCAATGATTTATATGGTTTAATGCTTCTAATTGATCATTTCATTCTATCCATATGTCTATGTATGCTATAATAGATATTCATGTGTTTGTCTCTATTCCTTGTGTTATTGATGCATGTCTATGTGTGTTGATACTTTGGATCTAGAGATTGTCAAGACTTAGTGCTTAATGTTATGTTCTTATGGTTTATTTGATGGTTCATACTCATTGCTTGATGGATTGTGCCTCTCCCTTAGTTTAATTAGTTTAATTTCATGCCATTAGCTTAGTTGTAGTATAGTTGTTAAATGGGAGGACAATCCATGCTTGTTGTTGATGTTCCATACTTATGAAAAGCAAGTAACATGTATCTCTAACCTTGTGATGTGTTTGGATTGTGAGCTTAAAGAAAGGATTAATGGCTTAATTTGATATGTTGTACTATCTACCATGTTGTTTAGACAATATATGCTTAATTTGTCATCCATGCTTGTTGAAACAACCACACACACACACTTTATTGCAATACATGTTCTTCCCCTCATTAATCATTCATTAAAGGTGTAGAAAAGTTATGCTTAGTGGTGATCTCTAAACCCCAAGATCTCTCTCTATCTTTTATTCTCTTTATTGCAATATTACTTACTTTAGTTTAATTTGTATCTAGTTTGATTCAACCAACCAACCGCTATTTTGATCACTCGACCTACTAACCCTAATTTTGATTCCTCAAGCTAGTACGACAACTCAATCCCTTAGGACGATCCCTTCTCACTCATACTACATAGTATAGGTGTTAAGCGGTTTATAAATTTAAATTATGGTACCCACTTGACTCTAATTTCCAAACTCAAAGTTTTATGCATTGTTTTATGCGACCACCGAGAAAGACACCACCAGCTGTGGAAGGAAATTTTCCCACTGATCATAGCACACCACGTATCCACAGAATAAGAATAACCCATCATCGAAATAACCAACCCAAAAACCCAATGTAGTCGAAAACTGTAATACCCCTAATTTTAAAAGGATAGTCTCGGTATTTTAAGTTTTATTTTATTGCATTTTTATTTGTTTATGTGTTTGGTTGCCTGGTTATTTTAATTAATTGATTGTTTGTTTTAATTGAATTGTTTGTTTCATTGTTAATTTAATTGTATTGTATTTTTTCTTTACTTGTTTTAATTGAATTGTTTGTTATTGTTAATTTAATTGTATTTTTATTTTTTTTAATTGGATTAAATTAGAGTTATTAATTATAATGTGAAATTAGGGTTTTAGTTTTTTATGGATCGTATTGGCCGACTAGGGTTTAGTTGGGTTTCCATCTCTAATTACATCTCTAATTACAAGTAGACTTAGGTTTTATATTTGCCTATATATATACTGTTATAAGTCTGAAAAGGGTTTTTGGAACCCTATTCACGTACAGAGATATAGAGATAAACAGAGAGGGAATTGTGAGAAAAACAGAGAGAGTTCAGTTAGGGTTTTTGGCTGTGGATTAAAGGACGGACCTAGGAGGAGGGAAGGGTGAGCAGAAGGAGGTTGACAGTGAACGGACGTCGTCGGAAAACTTAGGAAGACGGCGACGAGGTTTTGATTCAAAATCTCAGGCAAGTTCTATTCTGTCTCTTTCCCCTTGACTTGTGTTTTGTGCATGCCTA